GAAAAAAAAAAAAAAAGTATTTGGGGTTGTTTTTCCAAAAAAAAAAAAAAAAAAAAAAAAAGGAAGGAAAGAAAGAAAGAAAGAAAGAAAGAAAGAAAACATATATAGGACTATAAAAGTAATCTTTTAAAAGACCCACAAAAATCTAGTTGTTAACAAAGCTATGATTAGAACTGGAGGATGGCTCAGTGAATAAGAGCGGCTCAGTGAATAAGAGCATTGGCTGTAATTCAGAGGACCCGGGTTTGATTCCCAGGATCCACACCGTGGCTCACAACCACCTTCTGATGCCCTCCTCTGGCCTCTGCAGGCAACAAGCACATAGACATACCTTCAAGTTAAGAAAGCTATGACAATTAATATTACATATACCTAAAACATTTTTACCTATTTTCTTTCTGTACTGAAGACTGGTCAACTAATTCACCTCCCCCCACCCCCATGCTCTAAAACACTACCCTTTCTTGGACAGGATCTGTGCTAGAAAACAGTGTCTTTGACTAGCATTCCTCACATGTTCCTGAGAACGACATCATCTTCTCATCCTCATTTTCTATCATATTTTAAGAGATCTTTAAAAGGTCACTCATTCTCATATTCCTAAATACCAAGACACCCCTGTGTTATTCAATGTCAGAAGTGTTAGGACTATGTATTATAAAGAAAAATTTGAGTCAAAGGAGCAAGAATTCTACTTTTTTAAGGTCTTTGGTAAGTTATCATGAACTCTTCCATACCATAGGAACAAATACTATAAAAGATCATGGAGACACCCCCCCCCATACACACTACTTTTTGGGTAAATTAACTTTCTAAAATCTGTTAAAAACAAAAAAACAAAAAAACTCACCAGTTCTATCCAGTGTATCTGGTGTGGCAAACTCAGGATCCTCCAGTTCTCTGGCATCTATTGAAAGTGTCTCCAAACCTTCACTGAGTGAGTCCACAGACTCAGCATCATTGATAGCCCCGTTAACGTGGTAACCATTAATGCCTCCTTTCTCTGAAGATGCAGGCTGTTCCTCTTGAATAGGCACTGACTTACTGGAGTCCGGGGCATTGCTATTTGCTTCTGATGCAGGTTTTGGTTTGCTTTTCTTCTTCTTGTTCTATGGTTATTAAAGATTTGAAAAAAGAAAAGAAAAAGCACACCCTCCAACACAGCTCAAAGAGGTTTAACTAACTCCAGCTACAAAAGAAGTCCGTATTACCTATTTGGCACACATTCTTCTAGAAATTGAAGATAATTGTGTTTATATTGAACTAATGACAAAAATAATACTTTACTAAGAAAAACCGAATTTTGAATGAACCCAAAATATTTTTCATAACAAAACCTCTTTTATTTTTATTTTATGTACACTGGCATTTTGCTGCATGTATGTCTGTGTAATGATGTCAGATCATGGAGTTACAGACAGTTGTGAGCTGCCATATGGGTGCTGGAAATTGAGCCTGGGCACTCTGGAAGAGCACCCAATGCTCTTAACCACTGAGGTACCTCTCCAGCTCCCAAAAAACCTATCTTAAGCAAAATGAAAAGTTATAAAATGTGAAAATTCAAGTGCAAAGTATTTTTAAAGTTTAAAGTTAATGTATTTATAAGCAGAGCTCTAAATAATCACAATAACCCAATACAGAAAAATATAATCTATAAATAATTCAATGAGGTATAATCTCAGTCCAATAACTGACAAACAATAAAATCTGCACTGCAGTATGGTTTTTAAACTACTAGATTAGCAAAGGTCAAAGAGTTTAATGACATAAAGTCACTGGTTTCACTTAACAGACAGCTTTGACTGCTCTGGAAACAGCCAGTCATTTGCATAAACAACAGCATAAATAAAATCTAGTAATGCTTTGGAGTTACAAACACACAGACCTTTCAACCAGCAATTCTAATGTTACCAATTTATCCTGGCCAGGACTGACAAAGGTATAAAGATTACTCATCATAGCACTGTTATGTTAACATTAATAAAGACTGAGAAGCCATGCAAATGTAGTCAATAGGAGACTTATACAGTCCACACTCTATTACATGGAATGTACAAAGAAAATATATATTTGTAATTGTTTATGTGAATAAAATATCTTGGAAGCTACATAAGAAATTAATAGGGGTTGTAGCTCAGTGGTAGAGCACTTGAATAATATGCACAAGGCCTTAGGTTTGATCCCCAATGTCAAAAAATAAATAAATAGATAAATAAACTGACAATATGGTCTGCCTGGGGAGAAGTGGGTACTAGATGTCTGGGGAAAAGAGGTAGGATAAAGCTGTTAGAGGGCATTAACTTTTATATATTAGAAATCTGAGCCATGCAACTATTTTAGGTATAAAACTTTAGACTAATAAAGATGTGGGGCTGGAGAGATGGCTCCAGTGGTTAAAAGCACTGCCTGCTCTTCCAAAGGTCCTGAGTTCAATTCCCAGCAACCACATGGTGGCTCATGACCATCTGTAATGAGATTTGGTGCCCTCTTCTGGCCTGCAGGCATACATGCAAGTAAAATCTCTATATATAAAAAAAAACAGGTAAGATAAATATTAGAAAATTTCTCTAAATTTGCCGAACACAAATCGACTAGATACTATAACTGTAATTCTTCTTTGGCAACTGTTTTTGTTGTATATAATTTTATTATGTTAAAGTTAAAACCTTTTTTTTTTTTTTGTTTAGGTACAAATGCTGCTTGGCCAATGATTAGGATTCTCATCTGTTAGCTCAGTCTTAATTATCATAAATCTATATATTTTATTTTATAAGACTTATCGGACACCTTCCATTGGCGTCCTCATCCTGGGATCACATGGTGAATCTGGAGGAAGAGAGAAGGACCCACTTCCTTCTTCCCTTGTTTATGTGTGAGTCTCCCTGCTATGTCATTTCCTGCCTGGATCATCACTTCTTTACTACATTTCCCAGAACCCTCCTTGACTCCTCATTGGCCAAACAGTACTTTATTCAATCAGTAAGATGAACATACACACAAGTACATTTCCCATCATCTCCTCTTTTCTATCTAAATAAAAAGGATAACTTATCTTTTATAATAACTGAAGAAAACTATAACCATAACTGTCTTCTTCAACTCTATCAAAGACCACAGAAGGATAATATATAAACTTAAAACCTTCCTTTTTAATTAGACAAAAAGGGGTAAATGTGGAATACTCCTTTACACTGTGAATATATGTCGCTGTGATTGGTTTAATAAATAAGCTGACAGGACAAAAAAAAAAAAAACTGTTTGTTTTAACAACTATGCTGGCAACATTTAGCTCCTACAGCTAGATGAGCAAGCAAACCAGTCCGTTCTCATGCCAGGCCTTTTGATGACCCTGTCCAGCAGGATAACTCCTAAACTTGGCATTCCATTTTCTCCTATATCTCACTTTCTCCCATGTCATTCCACATATGTAATTAGCAGCTCACAATCATGTCTTATTAGGCTAACCTAAGAGTTAGCTGTAACAGATTGGAGCACTGGAGAGTATCAGACTACATCTATTTTTCTTTGGCCAGATCATGTCACACACACACACACACACACACCTTTACAACTATGCCATGTCTTTCTTGTGTTGTTAATCATTTATATTCTGAGGTGGATAACTTATGACACTGGTGTTTTCTTGAAGACTCAAAGCCATGTAAGCTGGGTGAAATCAGTGAAACAGACATGAAGAGCAACAGGCACAGAAAGCTTCATGAGAACCTCAACAGTGTTACGGACCTCTGGAAAGAAATTCTCAAAGATTAATACAGCCAAACCTGGCCTGGTCAAGAAGTCATTTCATGGCTGGCACGGGTTCTCAGTGGATAAAAGCTCTTGCCACAGAGCCTGACCACCTAAATTCAATCCCTGGAATCCGAGGTGGAAGGAGGGACCCAACTCCCCAAAGTTGTACTCTGCACCATGGCACTTATACACCTACACTTAACACACACAACATGATAATGAAATTTAAGAGAAAGTATTTCAGAACACACTAACTTAAAGGAAGAGTACTCCTAACAGTTGGAAGCACTCCTTATAGGAGATACACTGGATACAGAGCTGTGGGAAGAATACTGAACCCAGCCAGTGTCCCATAAGGGAAGCAATTCAGTTTTAAATGGATATAAGTAAGGGATTAAGGACTAATATGTTAGGCATTATAACAAGAATATATATGTATTAGCATTATAGGATTTTTTTGTTGTTGTTGTCTTTTTCCCCCCCAGACAGGGTTGTGCTATGTAGACTACAATGACCTTGAACTCCTGACCCTCCTGCCTCAACCTTCTAAGTGCTAGGATCACAGGTATGTGCCACCATATCTGTATTATCCTACTTTATAGACAGCAAACTAAAGTTAAACAATACCCACAGTTCACAAGACCAGATGAAGCAGAACAGGACAGAAATCCCGTTCTGACTGGCTCTGAAGGCCAAATAAATGCCTTCTGCTCTTTAACATGTAACATCAGATGTCTCAGGAAGGCACTTAGCCTGAAGGAGCAAAATCTGGGCTAGTATGATGTGCAGCAGGTAACTTGAATTCCACCCCCAGGAAGCACACAAAGGTGAAAGGAAAGAATAAACCCCAGCAAGCTGCCCTCTGACCTCTGTGAGCTCATGCATATGCAAACATGCAAATAATAAATAAATACAGATAGCAGGATAAAGTTTTTAAAGAAGCAGAAGCTGCCATCTGGCTTTAAGTCAAAATTCACCACTACTAGGGACTAGAACACAGTTGTCTAACCTGAAAGTCTGCACTGTTTTAGCTAATATATGAAACAAATCCTGCCGGGAACCAGCCACCCTACCAGGAGGCCCTGTGCTCTCCAACATGCTCTCTTCCTTCTACTCTTGTGCAGGGCAGCCCCAGCAACTGCACCGGCAAACTTAAAATTTTCTGGCTCCAACCACAGAGGGCAAACCATAATACTCTGTGAGATACAGCAGGCTCTCAATGCCAACAGCAGCATTTTTGAGATGGTAAACATGTAAACTTTTTCTTTCAAATATTATGAGATGTTTGGGTGAGCTGGCTGTGATTTCTCACTTCAGTGATCACCAGGGTAGACTTGGCTGATCTGGATGGCTAGGCAGGTGTCCCCCTCCACCCACAATGCTTCTCTGCTAGAACTTCCAAAGAAGCTCTTAAATATTATCTAACATATTTTAAAGCCTCTTTTTTTTTTTTTCCTTTTTATACATTATGTGGAGTACTTTGCCCTCCTATACATATGTGCACCCAATGCCTGTGAAGTGGAATTACAGATGGTAAGCTGCTATGAGGAGCCAGCAACTGCACCCAGGTCCTCTACAAGAGCATTGTGCTACTCTTACCTGCTAAGCCATCTTGCCAGCCCCTAAAGCCTAATTAAAAAGACAAACAAGGGCTGGAGAGATGGCTCAGAGGTTAAGAGCACTGACCTTCCAGAGGTCCTGAGTTCAATTCCCAGCAACCACATGGTGGCTCACAACCATCTGTTATGAGATCTGGTGCCCTCTTCTGGTGTGCAGATAGACATGGAAGCAGAATGTTTTATACACAATAAAAAAAATCTTAAAAAAAAAAAAAAGACAAAATAATATAATTCATTTTTACCTTTTTCTTGCCTGTTACTATCCATTCTTTGAGTACGTCACTGGCACTACCTGAAAAAGAGATGAAATAGAGATTTCCTCTTGTGCCACACACAAACTGAAGGAGAAATTGGTATCCTTCACAATTGCTGGACACTGCAGAGAGGCAGGCTTGCCAGGCTTCTGCGGCAAGAGCCTACTGAGGTCATTTAAACACAGAGGTGACTAGTCTTCACCGTCTTCTCCCTCCAAGCTACATACCATCTTGACTGTGGTGTTTGGGAAGAGCTGCAACCTACACCAGACTCAAACCCTAATATAAAGAAAACACGATGACAGAGAAAAACCCTGTAGATGTTGACCTGTTTCTCCTGTACTTGCAAATCCAGAAAAATGCAGCAGAGAGCCCTGGCCTGACACCACTCTGCTCAAAGGCAAAATAGCTTCAAGTAAAGTGATATAAAGTGTTTTAAAAACACTTATTAACTGCTGGGCGTTAGTGGTGAGAGAAACTCCATCTCGAAAAACCAAAAGAAAACAACAACAACAAAACAAAACAAAAAACAAAAAAACACTTATTAACTCTACAAATCTAAGGCATTGAACAAGGCTATTGTTTTCTATCTAACATATAGAAAACATAAGGAAACTCAACTCATACATTTGACTCACCTGCCCAAACCAAACTAAATTGGAAATAGTGGAATTTGGAAATAAATGTTGAGTCCTTGAACTGGCCATCTGTTCCTGAAACACTGAGTTATTCCTTTGCAATAGTCACTTAAGTCACTTTGTCTGATTCCATTCAAAGCCCTTACACCATCAGCTGCATAGTTTGTTTGGGGAGGGGGACATAACTTTTTTAGATGGGGTCTCATAATATAGTAAGAGACGGGCCTATAACTCATTATATAACCAAGACTGGCCTCAAGTCATAGTCTTCTTGCCTTTACCCCTCAAACACTGTCCACCACACTTGGTCTGATTTCTTACATGCTTGTAGAGAACACTCCCTTTTGTTGGGGGGTGGGGGTTCAAGACAAGGTTTCTCTGTGGTTTTGGAGGCTGTCCTGGAACTAGCTCTTTTAGAGCAGGCTGGTCTTGAACTCAGAGAAATCCGCCTGCCTCTGCCTCCCGAGTGCTGGGATTAAAGGCATGAGCCACCACAGCCCAGCAGGGAATACTCTTAACAGTAAAAGGTAAAGGGGTTTTCTTAGTTTGTCTCTTCCAGTTTTTCTATAGCTTGGAAATGGAAACAGTATCACCTTAACAAAATATCACAGTACGCTACACTGTCAGACTCAGGTTCTGTGTGTCAGACTCAGCTTCTTGTGCTAAGGCTCAGGTTCCAAAAGTCTAAACTTGAGAGAGGATTAATTACCTTCCATGAATGCTTGTACTGTTTTGTCCACACAATTATCAAAGTGCTGCAGAACCAGGATGATTTCATTATTGCTCTTATTAGGAACTATTGCACGCACTGCGTTTATCTGCAAAAGATGACAGGTCATATAATTCTAACATGAGTAGGTCACTGGCCAGTTGAAGTGTGTCAGGGAGAATCACAGTGTCATTTTACTTTCAGCAATATTATCACTCTTAATGTCAGTAAGGACACACAACCATCACACTGGGAATAATAAATAGAAAAATGATAACACCACATGAAAACTTCAAAATTTAAAAAGACAGAACATTTATAGAAATAAAAGGGCACCACTGAGATGGTCAATGAATAAAAGCATTT